TATCCTAGCCCAAGCTATCATGGTCTCTTGCCTGGACTGTCTAACTGGTCTCATAACTAGCTTCCTAGATGGCCTTCTTGTTTCCAGTTTTGCACCTACTAAAACCCATTCTCCATACATCAGACAAAGCTTTAAAAGACAAAATTCAGATCACGTCACTCCCAGCTCAAAACCCTCCAGTGGCTTTTCATTTTACCTAGAATAAAAGCTAAATGCCTTCCATGGCTGTCATGGCCCTACACCATCTTACTCCAGAACTTCTTTCCTACCTTATCTAGTACCAGTCTTTCCTCTTGCTGTCTCCAGTTGGACTTCTTTCTGAATTCCCTTGAATACACCAAGCTCATCTCTCACCCTGGGATCCCACGCCTCTGGGTCCTCATGAAATGACTGATGACTTCTTGTCATTCAAGCTCACCTCAACTCTCACCTCCATGGAGAATCCTTCCCTGACTAACCTATTTCATCTTGTTCTCCATCCTCACCCCATTACACTACCTTTATCCTTTTAAAAAAAAATTGTTTTCAAAGTATTTTTGACTTTGTGAAATGATTTTGTTCATGTATTTATTTGGTTGTTTGGGTCTGTCATCCTTTCTCTAAAATGTGAGATCTAGGAGAGCAGGGACCTTCTTCACCACTCAGTAGCCAGCACCTAGAACAGTGCCTGACACCTCACTCTCCTGATTTAAGGACTGAACATAGGTGAGGCAGGGAGAATGAGAGCAAGTCTAGTTCCAGGCAAGTAGAAAGTGGCCAGATCAGGGAAGAAAGAATAGCAGAGGAAATGGGAACACACTCTCATTCATGTTTTTGCCACCATTATCAGCCTATAGGCCATTACTATAATGAATGAACTCCCACAATTTTCAGTCTTTCCTTCAGTATATTATTAATTAAATTCCAAGCAATTCTAGATTATACCTACCATTTTGCTAGGGCTGGACAGATCCACTAAAGCAGTTCTCCACCTATTTTTCATTATTGCCCCCTGAAATGTTAATATCACAGGCATATTATATATTTAATAACTGTTTGCATATTTGCACTTTATACCTAGAAAGAGTAAGTATAAAAGTTACTCTTTTTGTTCGATACAGGGTTAAGAATAACCAAATAAAAGTTTTAATTAATTTAGAAATATAAAAAACTATTAACATTTAATTTTATAACTGTATCTGCCAAGCAACTTTAAATATAATTTATTTACCTATATAGATTTTAATGTGTCAAATTATATATGTATATTAGCAACTTGTATAACTACATAATAACAATAACATTATAACTTAAATTTTAAAAATTATCCCTAGTTTAATTTTTCCAGAAAATGTGTAATAATTTTAAAATGTATTTCTTAAAAATTATTGTTAGTAAAAGTAACTTTTAACTTTTGCTTGTTAGAAAAAATAACTTTTAAATAAGGCCTACTATTTGATAGTATAGCAGGGTGACTATAGTCAATAATAACTTAATTGTACATTTAAAAATAACTAGAAGAATGTAATTGGATTGCTTGTAACTCAAAGGATAAATGCTTGAGGGGATTTTTCCCCATTCTCCCTGATGTGCCTGTTTCACATTGCGTGCCTGTGTCAAAATATCTCCTGTATCCCATAAATATATACACCTACTATGTACCCACAAAAATTAAAAATTAAAAAGTTTCTAAAAACAAAATAACTTTTAATATAGCTAGCTGCAGATAGTCATTCACGTATTGTTGACATTCTTTCTGTTCAGTACTTAACATAATTAGTGATGAACTGAATGATTTTTGTGCAATTAAATTTACTCTATATTTCATTCTCAAAACTTGAGTAACAGATAAAAACACTGAGGATCAAACATAAATTAGGTAATGGCAGACAATAGGCAGCAGGTCAACTCTTGCAATAGGACTTTAAGAATGAGTAATTGAAAGAAAGTCCTCCAATCAGAATCATTTATTCAACATGGCTCTATATCAGTGATCTTTCATACATTTAGCATATCTTCAATAAGTTCAATATCAGTGCTGTTCATGTGATACCCAGAAAAACCCAGCAAGACAAACTATATACTAAGGAATAAGATTTTGTCAAGTAAGGCTGAGCTTTAGAGGGCCACAATCCATTCCAATAGCAAAGATTTTTTTCTCATGAAGGACAAACTTTCACTTGCTTGGGATGATATCACCTACGTTGAAAATGAATGCTCTAGAGTAGTATTTTGCCTTGACTGAATAAAACAAGATAGAATATGAATAATGGGTAGCCAGAAAACCAAAAGGAAAGAAAACAAGAAGTACTTAGTAGGGACCAGCCCTTTATGAGGGCAAAATAGATAACAAACTTTTCCCTAAATTAACACTTCCAAAAGTGCCTTGTTCCAACATAATGCTACTAAAGTGTATGTAATCACTATTCACTCCTTCTTGAAAGGATATTATCTCAAATCTTATCCTCTATTATCTCTGGTTTTAAGTCCAAGAATTTGGGCGATATCCTTTCCTCTTCTAGTCACCTTGCGATCTCTTCTAGATATGCTGCAAGCTATAAACTAAGTTGTATGTTGTACCACTACTCACACACTATATTCTACAATATATAGTGTGAAGATGAAGAAAGAGAATGGAAGTAACTGTATGTATATGCATACACACACACACACACACACACGCACAGAGCAAAGAAGGAAATAAGGAAACTGCTTGTAGTCCTCATTACATCTTATCCAGAGACCAGAGCTAGTGTTTCTGACTTCCCTTTCTCTCTATTGAATCCATGTGTTCCCCTTCCTTTAACAAGTACCTTAGCTGGTCATGGTTATTTTCTTGGTAAGGTGAGGCTCTTTGTGGTCCTGTATGTGTATGGCTACTGTATTCTTTGGCTAACCTTTATCACTGGATGTGGTGGGAATGAAACCCCCCGGGTGATTTCCCGGGACTCATAAAAGGTACATTGAGCCCTTCTCCACAGGCCCAGTAATCTTGAACACGCCTTGTTCAAGTTGTGTATTATGCTCCTAAGGGACCCTAGACGTTGTCTCCACAATGATTATGTGGAATCTGAGCTTTCAGAAGTCCCACCTTTATTGAGTCATTAAAATCTGTGTGAACTTTTGCCATTGGACATGGCAGAACTAGGATCACACAGTGAATCTCCTAGGTCCCAGAAAATGTTCTCCCCAATACTGTTGTATTGCACACTCCCCATTCCCCCTTGATAATTAAGATCACTCATCCCAGCCAACACAGGAACCTTACTCTCCCCATTTTTGCCCATTGATTCCATGGCATTAGGAGCTCCAGGTGGCCAGATGGAAGTCTTAACTTCCTATGAAACAAAAGTTTTGCAAGTTTTACTAACCGAACTGGTGTCAGGTGTTACTCCCATTTCTATTCTTTGGTTTCTAGACGTACAATATTCTGTTTATGGGAGAAAAAGCAGCATATATGGGTTGTTAATCCAGAGAACATACTGAATTCTATAGAATGGCATTTAGATCTCACAAACTATTTCCTAATTGTCACCATAACCATATAGTCCATAGGCCATTCCACCTTTCTGTAAGAGCAATTGTGTATAGGTGATTGTCTATGTCATATGAACAGAGAACTTCTTAGTCATGAGACCATTATCTTATCTCTTTCACTGTGAAATGTGTTCCTTGATCAGAAAAAAATATTGCATGGGATAGTTCAATGGTATATAAGCTGTATAAAGTAATTAGAAAATTGAAGGATGATGGTGCTGATAGATGCACTGTAGGAATGGAAGGCAAATACATTCCAGAATATGTGACTATTTCAGTGAGGATAAATTAATGCCAGTTCCGTGATGGAGGGGATCCGATGTAATGCCCCTGTCATTCAAAGACTTGTTGGTCTCTCTAGGCAACGGTGACATATTGGGGTTTCTGCTGTTGAGAGATTGGGCACTCAGCAGTGTTGGGAGCCAAGGCAACCTAAGTGAAGGTAAATCAATGTTGATAATGATAATGATACTACTATGATAATTTTGTTCATTGGCTCTTTGAACACACACCGGGTGTCTGGAGAAGATGTTGACAGATCTCCACGGGCTGCGTAATCATGCTCCTTTTGGTGAGCACTCACATGGGACACAGATACCCCCACACAACCCATCCTGAGAGATCTGTCCACTTGCTCCTCAAATATACGCAGGCAAAGTAATTAGAACTGTGCCTTGCACATAATGAGTACTCTAAGTAGTTTATTACATGGTCATTATTGCTATCAGTTCTCCAATCTTGTTCCTTCCAAGTTTCTGACTATCTGGCCAGACGCAATCTGTATTGATCAGTGCCCCTGGCCAGGTCACTTTCAGGACAGAGATCAACCACACCGCGCGCGTGGCTGTTTTGACTCTGAAAAGAATTTCCCTTCCTTACTTCCCATCAGGGTCACACTTGCTTATTATGCGTGTCATTCGCAAACCATGCTCCTGGGCTTTTTTTTCTTTGGGAAGCTGCCTGTTGGGAACTCCACCCAAGGCCCTCGGTGTGAGCGGAGGGAGGGCAAGCCATGCGTCAGGAGAAGGTGTTATGGGGAAGGTGAGCCTCCTGTAACTCACTTGTGCCTGCAGGGCCTGCTCCGGTCTGATCTCCTGTGACCACTGCCCTTTGGTGACAAGCATTGTCATTGCCTGCCCGACTTTATGATTTGGTGGATAAGATGGCACAGGCCCAGGGTGGGCAGCTCAGGTTGCATGGTCACTTGGGGTCCCGTGGTTAAGTGCTCACACTCTACCAGGAGCCAGTAGTTCGACCTTGTGTTAATCATCAGGTGCCAAGTGCCGCTTCTCAAAAAGTGAGCGGTTATTTGATGAAGAGAGCATGGCTTTTGCTCCAAAATGCTAGAAGCTTGTGCTTCAATTCTCCAGATGGGGCTTGTCACAGGCTCCACACAGCATCCCGGTCTGTCAGATACTCAACGCATTCAGACATTTATTTGTTCCTTCAACTGTCATGTATAGTGACTGCAGGGTTCCACGTACTGAACACCCTGTGCTGGGTGCTGGGGTGTTCCTGTTCTCAAGACACGGCCAGTCCAGTGAGGGAAACACTGGCAGCACCGAGGGGAACCATAAAGGGCTGTGGGAGGCCAGAGGAACTGGTGATTCACTCCTTTGTGGATAGGTGTGTTGTTAACCGCTGATGGCATGTGTTAGGAACATCTGCACAGGTGCATAGGTCCAGGCACACATTTCTGTATGCGGATATAGGCGTTTCATACATACATTTTATTATGGACATGAGTCAGCAGTCAGCGTGCTCTGGTGGAAGGAGCCCTTGACTGGGAGGTAGGAGCCGTAGGGTAAACTCCCCCAGCTCCCTTACATGGTCCCTTGTGCCCTCGCACATGTCCCTGCCCCTCTCTGGCCTCATATCCAAAGAGCATTGGCTCACCCGGCCTGCTCTCTGGGGGCCACACTTTAGATAGTGGGTGGGGAGCACCCAGTCCGCGGCCTGATACACAGCGGGTGCTGCACAGGTGAGAGCTACCTCGACGGGGAGGTGCTTTGTAAACTGGGCCTGGTGCTCTGTGATGAACATGAAGGTGGCACTGGCTGTATGCATGCACACACACGCTTGTGTGCAGGGAGGTATGCCCTGTGGAGACGGCCACATGTCCATCTGGGCTCCGAGCTGTGTGGGCAAGGCCGGGCTGGCTCCAACCAAGATGGCCCTGGCTGTAGGGGCTGCCATGGGCCAGGGTCACGCCTCCAGCGACCTCTGACTCTGCTCTGAGGAGTGGGCCATGGGGGAGTCACAGGTCAGAGTCTACCTAGAGAGGAGGCTGTCAGTCTGGAGGTAACAGAAAGGGAGCCACTAGGACGGGGCCATCGGAGCAGCTCCTTGCCCGGGGCACCACCACCTCTCCAGTAGGGGAGCTGAGGGCAGGCGGGTAGGCCCAGCTTTCAGTCTGGGATTTGTTTTGTCCTGACCACGTGCCCTGGGGCTGCTTTCTGCTTCCTCATCCATAAACCGGTGGCAGGAATGTCCACCCCATGGAGCTGTGGTGAAGATGAAATGAGCCACACATGCGGAAGCAGATGGCACCATGACTGTGCATAGGTGTCCAATAAATGACAATTGTGACAACAACTGTCCTTCCTGCACTTCATTTCCCACCTGTCCCACCCCCAAGCAGTCCTGCCAGCAGGAACAATACCTGTGCTAACAAGCTGAGGCACAAGGCCAAATGCTGTAGTAATGGATCCCTTTATTCAGCCAGCAATCAGAACGTGTAGGTCACTGTGCTGGGCTGGGGAGAAGAGACTCGGGCCAAGAGAGTCACACAAGGGCCAGAACTGGGAGAGCTGGAACCCAGGTCACGGCAACCTGCCTGGGAGGGAGGAGAGGATGGGGAGGGCTTCCTGGACCACACCATGGAGTGGGTGCTGGGCCTTGGAAGGAAGTTGGGGGACAGGCAGGAAGGACACAGTCACGGATAGGGACAGGGGCTGCCAGTGTGACACCTGTGTTGGGGTGAGGTGGAGAGGGCAGTATCTGCCCTGTGTTGGGGAGAAGAAGAGTGATTCAAGGGTGGGTGTCTCAGGGCAGCTGTCTGTGTGACCAGTATTGGTCACCCGCTGACAGATGGAAGAGAAGAGGGCCGTCTAGGTGGGGAAACTGTACCAGCAAAGGCACAGAGTTGTGAGAAAGATGAGGGGACCAGTCAGGCAGGACCAAGCGGGTCACTGTCAAGGAGCAGCTGGCTTTGGGCAGGCCTTGGGTGCCAGGGCCAAACTCTTAGACCTACAGAGCAGGTGGCATTGGGAGCCATTCGGCAGCTGAGGCAAGACTGAGTGGCTGACGGGTGGAAAAGCAGGAGTGACGAAATCTGCTTCTACCGCATCCCTGGGTGGCCCACCTCAGGACCCAGAATGTGGCCACCCCTACACCTCCAGCCCATCTGGGACAGGCCAGCCAACCCATCTGGGTGTGTGTGGCCCTCCCTACCTGCTTGCCTCCAATGCAGCCTCTGAGGTTGAGTTTGCTCTCACCATGCTGGTATAGGTAGATGGAGTGGGGCGTGATGGGATGTTCATGAGGTAGTAGACTGTGTGGCTCGGGATGTGATCCTGCCCTTGGTTACCACGTAGCATGTGCCCACATTGAAGATCTTGAAGTGGGACAGGTGGTTGGGCCAGACCCAAACAGGAGCGAGGGCAGCTCAGGGGCTAATGGTGGGGGGCTTTCTTTGTTACTCCCCACTTGCTCCTCTAAATCCACTCCCCATATATGCCTGTCCCGCTCTGTGCTTCAGGAGACTGACCCTTGCTGATTGCATCATCTGGGCTCCTTGTCCTGCAAGTGAGAGACAATGGCACCCAATGGGCAGAGGTCAGAGCAAGATCTTTCGGGTATTTATCCCTATGCTTCCCTACCTGCTGGGTTGTGCTTTAGCTGTCGCGAGGCTCCCCTAACTCGGGCCATCAGCTCCCATGGGCAGCTCCTCTTCCATGGCTATGACTCTTGCCACTTTCTTTTAACTGCCATTGCAGCTTGACCCTTCAGGGCTTTTGGCAGATACAGTTCCTCAGTCTCTGCCCATCCCTTGTGGGTCCTCTAATGCCACCCACCTCTGTAAATTATGTCCTCATGAGTTCACCGTCAGTTTGCCCATGGAGTTTGCCATGCGTTTCGGGACAGCAATCTGCCTGACACAGAGAGTGAATGTGAGTGTAAAAAAGAATGAATAAATGTGAGTGAAGGAAAGAGTGGGTGAAAGTAATGCCAGTAAATGCGTGAATGAATGAGAAAACAAGTGTGAATCAGGAATTTTTGTGCGAAACTTTCCCTGTTTATTCTGCTGAGATTGTAGAAGCCACACCGGCCAAATCGTGCTTTTCCCTGGATCCCCAATGAGAATGGTAGGACAGTGAGCGCACAGCAACTGCAGGCTCTTTGGAGGACACCGTCTCACACCCTGGAGGGAAGAGAAGCGTCCTGCCTCACAGACTTGCTTCAAATTTCACCCAGAGGTTTTGGAAGGCCAGACTGGCTACATCAGAATCACGACATGGGCTGCTAGAAATGCAGACTTCTGGAGCCCAACCTTCAGGATCTGGTTCAGTAGCATGGGGATGGGGCCCAGGAAGCTGTGTCTTTAACCAGTCTCAGGCGACCTTGATGTCCATCCAGGTTGGAGAATCATGAAGCAGGCCTGCTCACCTCATCTGAGAGATGAGAGGACAGACGCAGAGAAATCCCTGGCTCATGTGGCCGCCCCTCCAAAGCTGCTTAGCATAGGAGGTCCTGCCTGATTCGACCCTGCTGAACCAGAGAAGCACTGGTGAACAGTGGATATAGCAGACACAGACAGACACACAGACTGGATCCAAATCCCAGTGTTGACACTCCCTTGATGTGGGACCATCAAAGCCAGTCACTCCATTGCTCGACTTCACTTTTCCCATCTGTAAAATGGACGAGATGCCATCTACAGCCCAGGACCATTGTGAGACTTTGAGAGATTCCTCCCTCCCAATTACGTGGTGAAGAGAAGATTGCATGATCATTGTACCCGTTAGGACTAGGTGGCACTCACTGAGATGCAGGTATGGCTCCAAACGCTTTACATGAATGGCCTCATTTATTTCCAACAGCACTGCCTATGAAGTAGGAGCTGTGGTCATGCCTGCGCTGTAGATGAGGAGCCAGAGGCCTAGAGAGAATGAGTCGCTTGTCCAGGGACACACAGCAGCAGCGGGGAGCTGGGCCCACAGGCCATTTGAGTTCCTGCAGCCTGCACTCTTCAGCCCTAAACTATAAATGGCAGGTCCCTCCCCCATTCTCCTTAAAGGTTAAAACAGAGGGTAGAACCAATCCTGTGGGGGAGAAAACAGAACAAAGAGCTCTGAGAGGAAGGAAGCCAAGGGAATGTATGTGAGCAGGCGCCTCAGAGAGTATGGGGCTCAGTGTGCCCCTGAGCTTCCTGACAGCTGTAGCAGGAAGGAGGCGGGGGCAGAATTCCCAAGTTTCCATTTTCTGGAAAAAAAAAAAAAAAGGAGAGACATTTCTTTTTGTTTTGTTTTCTTTTTTTTTGAGAGAGAGTCTCGCTTTTTCGCCAAGGCTGGAGTGCAGTGGCGTGATATTGGCTCACTGCAACCTCTGCCTCCCAGGTTCAAGAGATTCTCCTGTCTCAGCCTCCGAAGTAGCTGCGACTACAGGTGTGCGCCACCATGCCTGGCTAATTTTTGTATTTTTAGTAGAGATGGGGTTTCACTATGTTGGCCAGGCTGGTCTCCAACTCCTGACTTTACATGATCTGCCCACCTCAGACTTCCAAAGTGCTGGGATTACAGGCGTGAGCCACCATGCCCAGCCAGGAGACATTTCTAAGTGGAAATTTGCCTTGGAATAAAATTCCAGGGGAGTTTATCTTGTGGCCAGCTCAACAAACATCTAGGACCAGAAATTCATTTGTGGTTTCATGAGACATTAAAAGAGGTACTCACACACATAATTCTGAGCATCTCCCTTTGAAGGCAGAGAAAATATGAAACTCTAGCCCAAATCTCCGCAGCAGTTTTGCCAAATCCCCATTCTCTTCAGCCTTCCCATACCTCTACCTCACCCTCACACTCACCGTCATCTCACCTTCTCTGCGTTGAAAATAGAAGACAACAGACAAGAATGTCCTCAACTCCTTGCAACAAACTACTTACAAACTTGACCATCCCTACCTGTCCTGTACTCGCTCCTTCCCCCTGATACAGTGGAAGAGGTGCTCTTTTTCACGTCCGCTACTTCTTCTACCAGTGTTATGTGTCCTATTCCCCACTACCTCATCTGGAATCTTGATAAATCAGTTACCTCTCTCCCTTCTCTATCTCCGACCTCTCCCTTTCTCCTGACTCAGCCTTTAAACATGTTCAATTATCTTACATTATTTTTAAAAAAATATGGAAAAGATGTGAAGTCCACTTCTAGGACAGTATAATGAGCTCCATGGACCCACACCCTAGCATACAAGCAAAACTGATGAAAATGATGGAAAGAACAGCCATTTTAAATGTCTGAAAATTGAGCAAATGAAGAAACATTCATTCAAGAAAATTCACTCAAACTTGATAAGAACAGTAAGAGTCTGTGGCTTTTGAGTTACAACCCACTCACTCCCTCCTTCCTCATTTTCCCACCCGACTTGATGGACGCTCCACTCCAGGTGCGTGTGGCCAAGAAAGACGGGCTCCCTCTCTTCTCAGCACCCAACCAACAATTACCATATCTGACCTGGAGGGACAAGCCACTAGAATTTCTCATCCCTTCCAACTCTGAGTTGAAGAGGCTAAATTCCTAGCGAGTACAGTCAAAAGGCATAGGGGCTCCCTTCCCCCACTTAGCTCCTGCTCATAGGGCAGAGGCTCTACTCCAGGGATGAAAGTCCAGGAATACAGGTGGCCCAATCAAGTTCACTCCAGTTCAATCATGGAACAGAGGTTCCACTCTGGAAGAGGCAAGCCGAGAAGACAAGGGTCTACTGTCTTGCTCAGTGCCCCAATAGGGGCTCAGAGATTTTTTTCCTAGGGGGAAAGGAAATGTATAAGAAAAGGAGCTCCTGGCTCATGCCTGTAATCCCAGCACTTTGGGAGGCTGAGGCAGGCAGATCACCTGAGGTCAGGAGTTCAAGACCAGCCTGGCTAACATGGCAAAATCCCGTCTCTACTAAAAAATACAAAAATTAGCCATGTGTGGTA